CCTTTTTGTAACCTTTTATATATTTTTTTAAAAAGTAGACTAATGCTCTACAAAAGTCTTATTAATCTGATACAGGGCCCAGATGCTGGTCTTGCATCAGTACCTTTGATATTAATGTTTAATTTATAGAGAAATTGTTTCATATAAAAATTTAAAGCCAAAGCACAGAATGTTATACTGGAAGAAAATATTTCCTTTATAACTTTAAGATAAAACATTTAAGCATCAGGCCACAACAGCAGCAAAAACCTAAAGAAAAAATTTACAGGCGCTTACAAAAAGTTGAAAGAGAGAGTTATCATCCTTCTGAAAGGTGAGAGAGCTAAAAACAATGAGATGCAATATAAATTGAACTTCTGATTTAAAAACAAATGAAAATCTCTTGTAATTTCATTAAAAAGAAATCAATACCTTAAGAAAATTTTGTTGTTCTAACCAATTCTTTAGTGTATTAGTGTATTTTTAATATCATAGCTCAATCTCTAGAAAGTCTGTTATAAATAATTTCCTTTTAATTATAGTCAACTTGATCACAAAAACTTTTTTTCACATAAATCCTCTTTTTAAAAAATAATCCTTATTATGACATACACAAGCCACCTATGACATGCTTGAACTTCCTGTTTTATGCCAAACATCCCTCTTTCCTAAATAACCAATCATTTTATTTTAGTACATAAATTTACCATACAAGATTCTTTCTCATATAAAATAATTTTCTTTTTATGATCATTGACTCCTGTTGTTGCATTGATCCTTTTACCATTAAAAAAAAAAATTTTTTTTTCTTTTTAACCTTTTCTTACCAAAATACTTCTTTATATTTGTAACTTTCTTTATATCTTTCTTCTTTACTGGTTCCTTTTATCCTGTTTCATAAATAACCTTTAAATTAGACAAAAATCATTTTCCTTTAAATAAGAACACATTTTTAAAGAAAAATATTTTCCCATAATATAATTTTAACAAAATTGTGAATAACTCAGATATTTAATAAATATCTATTATTTAATTTAGCATAACTTTAGATTCCAAATTGTATGACAAGTTTATTTACAAGCATTTATTTTATTATCTTGACCTAATTTATTTTTAAAATAAATTACTTAGACTACTTGTTAAAAACGTGTTAGTCATTATTTAATGTTATTTCCCTGGTAACTGTTTTTATATTTTGTGAATTTCAGGTGTTTACCTTAGTAAGAACCTTTAGGTTGAATAAACGTGTGTGTGTGTTTTTTTGATAACTCAGGATTTAGCTGTTTTCATTAAATCAACAATATTAAATGCCCTATTTATCAAAAAAATTACACCAACAAATATAATACTCTTTTGGGCTGCATTTCTAGCTTTATAATCCTCATGCCAAATTCTGACACCTTATAATATATGGTAAAGGTAAACGTTAAACTGCCTGACTGATCACTCTAAACAACAATGTATGTTGACAATGCTGAAGAGAGTTCTAATTTTATTTTACCAATAACTTTAAAAACAGCTTATTTATTAAGAATTTACAGGCCGGGCGCAGTGGCTCACGCCTATAATCCCAGCACTTTGGGAGGCTGAGGTGGGTGGATCACGAGGTTGAGAGATTGAGACCATCCTGGTCAACAAGGTGAAACCTTGTCTCTACAAAAAAATACAAAAATTAGCTGGGCATGGTGATGCGTGCCTGTAGTCCCAGCTACTTGGGAGGCTGAGGCAGGAGAATTGCCTGAACCCAGGAGGTGGAGGTTGTGGTGAGCCGAGATGGTGCCATTGCACTCCACTCTGGGTAACAACAGTGAAACTCCGTCTCAAAAAAAAAAAAAAAACGAATTTACTAAAGTTACATAAACTTGAAAAAGCATTTGGGCTTAAGGTCTCTATTTTTCTATAAAGTATATGATTTAAGCCCTTTATTTCCTTTAAGGCCAAATAATTAGAGCTATTTTATATATTCTTGATAATGAAATATATACATTATATATAAATGGATAGATGTATTAGACACATAGATCTTACAGAATCATAAGACCTCCCTCTTTTTATCCCTCCTATTTCAGACTTCCAATTTTTTTTTTTTAAGATGGAGTCTTGCTCTGTTGCCCAGGCTGGAGGGCAATGGCATGATCTTGGCTCACTGCGACCTCTGCCTCCTGAGTTTAAGCATTCTCCTGCCTCAGCCACTGAGTAATTGGAATTACGGGCAAGTACCACCACCCTCAGGTAATTTCTGTATTTTTAGTAGAGATGGAGTTTTTACATCTTGACTAGGCTGGTCTTGAACTCCTGGCCTTAAGTGATCCACCAGCCTTGGCCTCCAAAAGGGCTCGGATTACAGGCATGAGCCACCTTGCCTGCCTCCAATTTCTTGATAATTTGCTTCATTACCCTAGGCAATTGTCAGATACATAGGCCTAAATTTGTTTACGGAAGGAACAACTCTCAGGTGAAAAATCAGGAAAATTTACTTCTCAAAGTACAGAGAGAAAAAGAGAGAATCTGGTGTGTTAACAGAGTGATTCAAAATGGATACCAAGTCAAACATAAAATTACAGAAATCTTCCAGAGGATTGTATAAGGAGACCAATAGCACTTAAGTAGTTTTAGATGTGGTCTCTATTTAACTAGATCTCTGAGCTCTGAGCAGAGCCCACATTGAATCCTGGGTCTCCAAAAGGAGACAGAAATCCTGGGACTAGGCCACATTCTGCTCTTACAGAGTACTTTGTTATGGAGATGTTGCTCTGAGTGTCTAAGCACCCTTTCTCATCCTAAACACCCAAGAGTAGCCTGTAATAATAACTATTTTAGTTAAAAAAAATCAGGAAACAGAATACAAAAGCAAGCAGTTTAAGATCTGAGAGGGCCTTGTTTGTTTTTACTCTTGGGGTTCCATAAGGAAAAACAGAGGTTTCACCCCCCCCCCCGCAAAAGTCTGGCACCTTCTCTGTTTTCTTTAAGGAATCCCAGCTCCAATTTCTTGATAATTGGTTTCATTACCACTGTTAAAATTATTTCCAGTGCCTCATGCAGCAGAGGGTGGAAGGAGAAAGGAGAGGCAGGCAGAAGTAAAGAGAAAAAGCAGAATTCAGTTGAGTGAGAAGAAAAAAACTTGTTTTTTCAAAAACACAACCCTAGGAGAAGGAAAAAAAAGGCATGAAGCCCTTTTAAATACACACACACACACACACACACACACACACACACACACACACACACAACATACAGAAACAAATTGTGGATAGTGTCTTTTCATCAAGCTGCCTTTTAACTATTGAGGTCTTAAAAATATGCTTTTAAATATTGTTACCATATTCTAGCTGGCACAAGCTGCTGGTATCTCAAAAGTAAAACAAATATCAAACCGGAAAGGATTTGATTTAGGAACCAGCGCAGGCTATAACAGTGAAGAAAGCACAGAATCGTTGCGGCTGAACTACAGCATAGGGTGACTGCCATTGCTCCCAAGGTTTAGCTTGGTTAGCAGAGGTGGTCTTGCCATGTAAATAAAGCCACTCAGGTAATCGAAATGTTTCTTTTCTTTCTTTTCTTTTCTTTCTTTCTTTCTTTCTTTCTTTCTTTCTTTCTTTCTTTCTTTCTTTCTTTCTTTCTTTCCTTCCTTCCTTCCTTCCTTCCTTCCTTCCTTCCTTTTTTTTTTTTTTTTGAGACGGAGTTTCACTCTTGTTACCCAAGCCGGAGTACAATGGCACGATCTCGGCTTACCGCAACCTCTGCCTCCTGGGTTCAGGCAATTCTCCCACCTCAGCCTCCCAAGTAGCTGGGACTACAGGCATGCACACCATGCCCAGCTAATTTTTGTATTTTTAGTAGAGACGGGGTTTCACCATGTTGACCAGGATGGTCTCGATCTATTGACCTCGTGATCCAGCCGTCTCGGCCCCTCAAAGTGCTGGGATTATAGGCGTGAGCCACTGCGCCCAGCCAATGTTTCTTTTTTTACAACTTTTGCTGTTGATTTTTTTCTTTTTTTCAGCTGCAGGAATTTAGCCAATTCAGAGGACTTATTTCCCATAACTACGGTACTTTCTTACAGATTTTACCAAGTCAGGTAGAGCTGATCAAACGCAGTAAGAAAAATAAAGAAATAACAACAACGACAACAACTTAAACAAATAAAAAAACAAGCTGAACAAATAGATGATTGCAGAATGTATGTGATTACTGGGCACTCTAACGATAAGAAGAAATTAAGACCAGCTAGTTGTTAATATTAACTTTTAGTCATTAAGGATAAGTTCCAAGACAAAACTGCCATCTAGCTACTTACCTAGGAATGCGGCTTAGGCTGAAAACGTCTCTCTTCTCATCTCATGAAGTAAGAATCAACCTTAAACTTACCTTTCCTGTTGGAAGCAAGCTGAAACTCCAGAAAAAAAGTTGCCTGTTGTCCATCATCATGGTGAAGTGGCGACGTTACCTGGGGTAAATACCTGGGGTTCATTGTCTCCCATCAGGAAGATTAAGGACAGAGTTCCCTCCATTGCTCATCGATTTGTAAACCAAAATGTATCTGTGACAGGTCTCACTCAATTTAGAAGAGCCTTTTTTTGCCCCAAGGTTAAGGACAGATCCAGGTGACAGGTTTGTGTCTTTATCCAAAGATGATTATGATGTCTTTAATATTTAAAGGGGAAGGTGGGCTGGAGAACAAGGAAGGATATGGTCATATTACTGTATCTACTTGTTGGAGAAAGAGAGCAGGTACAGGAATAGTTAATTACGAATTCTTCTCATGCTCAGTAAATCAGCACTTTACATAAGATCAGATGAACACAGAGTAGCTACCTGGGGAGCTGTTTAACCTTTTTATCTTTAGCGCTCTGCTTAAGAACAAAGGGAAAAACAGCTTCTTGTATGACTCAGCTTTCAGCTTAATTTTTTTCCTTTTGGCGTAGTGAATTGGGGTCCCAGGTTTTTATTTTTCTTTCACAAATTAAAATGGATATTTGGACTATTTCTCAGTCCACGAAATTTCTCTCATCCTAAACTGCTAGACACATGTGCTGTCTCTGTTCATTTCCTTATTTATTTATATCAGCCCTTCCTTCCTCTTGCCAACTTCAGTGCCACATAAGGGAATAACAACGACAGAAATCTAACACCGTGGGACTCCTTTAGAGACAACAGAAAAGACACTGAAGACTTCTTTTTGGAAGAAACTCCTGTGCTTTTTTTTTTTCTTTCCATCAGGGAGTCTTAAAAACTATAATGAGCATGTTAGCACTAGGGAAAGTATCGTAGTTACACAGCACCAAAGTATGTTACTGGTAGCCAGTACATACACGTCTATAGCAACCTGAATTCCTGCCTGCTCAGAAAAAGTTCAGCTGAGGAGTCAAAAAGATTGGTTCAGTCCATGCCGTTAATTTCTGTTCTGCTTGATACTCATGAACATTTAGCTCTCCAAGAGTCCTGGGAGTATTCCCTCTATTCTGATGTCACAATCTCCCAAGTTGTCAGAAACCTGCCTTCAAGAGCACCTGTTGGAGTTTTACAGCGGCTTGTAAAACCACATTCTAATGAGGACAAAAACAAGACAACAATTGTCCATGGATGAAGAAACAGATCTTAAGGCAGCCATAGTCAAAAGGTACAATTTACAAGGAAATATGTTACCTCTGTGGCACACAATAATTCTAACATAACAATTATGATTATTACTGATAATGTACCCTAAGTTATATCAGAATTACAGGTGTTTCCCCTAATTTTGGAACACATACTGATATTTATACAATACAGCCCAAAGAAAACCAAATACCATTTCATATTTGTCAATGCTTCCTATATAATTTTTATACCCAATAAACCAAATTACATCATTTTTTTGGACTTCAGGGAATCTAATGGCTTAATTAATTAATTAAATTAGAAAAAGACATAATTTATCATTTGATTTTCGGAAAGTTTGTTAAATATAAAATGTTTAAAACACTTGATATTATAGAATAGGATCACAGGTCACTGTAAAGTCATTTATTTAACCAAAGTGATAATTCAAGGATTTCAAAAAACCTTCATCCCTCGAGAGAGAAGACCTAATTTTCTAAACAAGAAACCCTAATATGAAAACACCATAAAGCCAATTACATTTGTTTTTCAAAATTTTGTAAACAGTCTATGATATTTAATGTTGATTATAAAATGTAACTTTCATAAGCCTTTTATAAGCTTTATAACCTTTATTAAGGAGTTGGTTAATACTTCAAGAAAACCTTGTTAACCTGACACAGGGGTCCGTACACTGATTTTGCACCAGTGTGCCTTTGACACTAATGATTAATTATGGATAAACTGAATATATTTTATCTTTCAAAATCAGCTCTTTTAATCTTACACACCTACCTCTTCTGTGATAGTCTCTGGGCCTTGAGTTGAACAGCTTTAATTTCTTGCCCTGTGTCTCTGGAGTGTAATTTATTTTGATTTGTATCTTCTACTGGACCTGAAGATGAGGCTTTAATTGCTATCACTGTTTAAGATTTAGCAGAGGCCAGGCACCATGAAATCCGAGCACTTTGGGAGGCCAAGGCAAGTGGATCACCTGTGGTCGTGAGTTCGAGACTAGCCTGATCAACATGGAGAAACCTTGTCTCTACTAAAAAAAAAAAAAAGCCAGGTATGGTGGCGAATGCCTGTAATCCCAGCTACTCAGGGGGCTGAGGCAGGAGAATTGCTTGAACCTGGGAGGAGGAGGTTGCAGTAAGCCGAGAGTGTGTCATTGCACTCCAGCCTGGGCAACAAGAGTGAACCTCCGTCTCAAAAAAAAAAAAGATTTAGCAGGACATGGTGTCCTTTTTAGACCCAAGAGTTAAAGCCCTGTAACTCAATGTTACAAGGACTTCAGTAACACATACAAGAAAACACATGCAGGTAATAACCTTAATTTAAAAACTTTTAAAACTCAGATCTTTTTCCTAAGCAAACCAAAACTTAATAATAATATGATGATGTAAAAGTTTTTTGTTATTTATATATATATATCCTCTTATTGTGACTTACACTAATCATTCATGACTTTCTGGTTTGTCCTGAACATCCCTCCTTTTTTTTAAAAAAACAGTTATTTTATTTTAGGACAAAATTTACCATACAAGACTTTTTTCTTATATGAAATTCTTTTTCTTTAAGCTTTTCTTACCTCAAAAAAACCCTCTTTATTTTTATAACTTTCTTTAATTTTTGTTTATTTCCTGGTTCGATTTACCTTGTTTTATACATAACCTTTAAATAAGCTTTGCATTAGACATAAATTTTTCACTTTTTTTTTTTTTGAAAAGGATACACTTCCCTTTTTTTTTCTTTTTTAGCAAGAATGTTTTCCTACAATGTATGGTTATTGGAAAATACTCAAGTAATGAAACATCTATTATTTAATTTAATATAACCTAACATTCTAAATTATGACCAGTTTGCCTACAAGTATTTTCCCATTACATTTACATAATTATATTATCGTATTTACCTAGATTATTTATAAAAACTGTGATAGTCATGAATTTAAAGTTATGAAATCACCTTTGCAAAATTATAACTGAGACAGTGAAAAAGATAATTGACTTCATCCTGCTTTTAACCTCTAAGCTATCTTTGTTCATTTTTGGGCATAGGCCAAACTAATTTTGGGAGGAACTTAGTTTACAGTTTAGCTTTGAAACAAAGATGATAAAAATCCTTTCCCCAAACAAACCTTCCTATAGCCACAGGATTAGAAGTTATTGGAATCTGACTACATTCAAGATGCAGCTATTTTCATTAAACCAATATCAATGTCTTATTTATTAAAAAATTACACAAGCAAAGATCATTCTTATAACCAGGGTGGCGCTGCATACTCAGTTACCTCCCCATTTAGATTCTGAGATCCTTGGCCTCTCCAACCCCAAGAACAGGGAAAGGGGCCCTGGAGGTGTGGTGAGCTTACCATTCGCAGAAATATTGTGGACCCAAAGAGTTTAGCAGAGAGCGATTTATTAGGCAGAGAGAGAGAGAGAGAGAGAGAGAGAGAGAGAGAGGGAGGGAGGGAGGGAGGGAGGGAGGAGAGAGAAAGAGAGAGAGAGAGAGAGAAAGAGGGGCAGGGGAGGGAGAGAGAGAGAGAGAGAGACAGAGACAGAGAGCTCCCACACTGACATGAGAGGGGATCCAAGGAAGGAATCCCTATAGGCAAGGAACATGGGGTTTTAATCCTCGAGTTATTCCCTCCCCATTCCTGTTCTTGTCCATTGAGAGGAATTCTTTCAAATTTCCTCTGGAGTGATTGATCTTTGACTGATACTGGATTGGTTGCTTGGTCCACAGCAGAGCTCCCTCCTCCCAGAGCTTTCTGCAGGCTTTTTGAACAAAGAAGCTCAACTGAATTTTCCACCTAGCCCTGCTGGGGACAGTTAGACAAAGAATTTTGCATTTCCAGATGGGGGAGTGGATGGAGGTGGTGCTGGGAAGATCATGCTTTTGAAACAACACCCCTCATGAACCCGGAAGATAATTTTTTTTCCTTAACAGAGTACCTCATTCTGATGTAACTCTTATGCCACATTTTGTCACCTTATGGTATTTGGCAGGGATATGTATGAAATTGCTTGATTACTAAATGTAAACAAAAATGTATGCTGGCAATTAACACATTTTAATTGTGTTAATTATTACTTTACCAATAGTTTTAAAGCTAGCTTATTTATTAAAGATTTTACTTAAGTTACACAAACTTGAAAAATAATTTGACTATCCTTTTTAGTATCTGATTTAGGCACCTTTATGTTTCTTTAAGCTCTTTTATAGATTTTTAGTAGTGAAACATTTTGCATACAACAAATAAATACACACAAAGATGTATTCGGCATAAGGATAGAGGTACATTTTATAGCTTTATAAAGACTCCCCCCCTTTTTTTTCTATCTTAAGACTTTCAGATTTCTAATAACTGGTTTCACAGCCCTAGGCAGTTCTCAGCTAAAAAGCCTTAAATTTGCACATTAAAGGAAACAATTCGGGTGAAAATCAAATAGCAAAATTTACATCATAAGGTAGAGCAAAGAAGTCTGGTGGTGCTAGAGCAGATGCTTCTGCAGTGTGCTTTCTTTTTAAAAGGACATTTCTGAGTGTCTAAACTACATTTTTCTTTTTCTTTTTTTGAGACGGAGTTTCGCTCTTGTTACCCAGGCTGGAGTGCAATGGCGCATTCTCGGCTCACCGCAACCTCCGCCTCCTGGGTTCAGGCAATACTCCTGCCTCAGCCTTCCGAGTAGCTGGGATTACAGGCATGCGCCACCGTGCCCAGCTAATTTTTGTATTTTTTAGTAGAAACGGGGTTTCACCATGTTTACCAGGCTGGTCTCGATCTCTTGACCTCGTGATCCACCCGCCTCGGCCTCCCAAAGTGCTGGGATTACCGGCGTGAGCCACCGCGCCCGGCTAAACTACATTTTTCTTTAGAAATCCAAGAGTAGCCTCTGTTGCAATACTATTTTAGTCAAATACAATTCAGTCAACTGAGAATAAAAAAGTAAACTTTTGCTCAAAAAAAAAAAAAAAAAAAAAAAAGGCAAGGTCTTAGGAGAGAGGTCTCAGGTAATTTGGAAAGTTTATTTTGTCAAGGTTGAGGAGTCCATGACAGCCTCAGGAAGTCCTGAGGACATGTGCCCAAGGTGGTCGGGGCACAGCTTGGTTTTATACATTTTAGGGAGACAAGACACATCAATCAATATGTAAGAAGTACATTAGGTCTGTCCAGAAAGGCAGAGACAACTCAAAGCAAGGCCCCCCAAACCAGGGGCTTCCAGGTGAGAAAGAGGTGGTTGCATTCTTTTGCGTTTCTCATAAGTCATTCCAAAGGAGGCAGTCAGAATATGCATCTATCTGTGAGAGCAAATGGATGACTTGAATAGAATGGGAGGCAGATTTGCCCTGAGCGGTCTTGAACAGGGCCAAGATATTTTTCTTTCACGCAGCTAACGTCTGAGATCTTATCCGGAAGCTGCTGCTTACCAGTTACAGGTGTTCTATTTAGTGTGAGACTGTCTTTCCCTGGCGCCAGCTGCGACCAATTATTATTGCAGCGAGACAGTTTAACAACTGCCTGACCACCACCTGATGGTTGCCTGATAATCCTGGTGGGGGGCCCTTTTCCTGCCCTGCTCATGTCTGCCTGACCACTACTGCAAAGACAGAGTCTTCTGACATCTAAAACTCTACTCTCTTTTGTATTGCTTTACCTGATCTTTTTGGTTGAGGGAAGATGGTGATAACAGAAATTACTTTGTATTTTAAAAAATTTTGACTCTGGTGTGCATAATGGCTAGTGAACGGGCTGATCACAGAGTGGGCCGACTGGTGTAGGGTTGCCCAGGGGGAATGTGTTTGTAATGAAATGCACTGTGAAAACATTGTATGGTCCAGTCCCCATGGCATGTCTCTTTCTGGAGACCTAGGATTCAGTGTGGGGCTCTCTCCTAAGTTCAGTGATCCAATTAAAAGGTAGAGACCTATATAAATGGAATTGGTCTCCTTATAACATCTTATAATAACTTTATATAATTTGTGTTACCCTAGCATTCATTTTTAAATTTTCCTCTAACCACAGCCAAACTTCTTTTAAAAAAAGCTTAAATTCCCAGGCTCTTTCTATACTTTGAGATGCAAATTTTCGCCTTTAGAAATGCAAATTTAGGGTTGCCTAGCTAACAGTTGCCTAGGGCAGTAAAACAGGTAATTGGAGAGTGAATTAAAAAAAACCTCACTATTTAAAACTGACAGATGAAAAATCTTATACATCTGCAAGAGCTGCTTCTGTTCATGTTTGTCTATGTATATATATGTTTTATGTGTATGTGATATTTCACTACCAAAATATATGAAAACACTCCAACTTAATGAAAAGGTAAGTGCTTAAATCAAATATTTTATCAGAAAAATAGAAACTTAAATGCCTTTAGTTAATGTGACTTTAAAAATCTTTAGCAAATAAAGACAATTTAAAAATTATTGATAAAATAAAATAGAAACTTCGGAATTTAATTTAGACATTTTGTCTAAGATTATTGATCTACTGGTTTGATACTATATCTGCTAAATGTTTTAAGGTCATAAAACATTTATGCTTTTATGTCATTGTTTGATTCTTAACTTATATATAAACTTACGGTTTTAGATTTGAGCCTTTAAAACAGAACGAGGCCTACTTCAGGCATTGTCCTTTATCCTGGACTCTGCATCTAGTACACAATAAAAATACCTTTTTAAGTTTCTTACTAAAAATAAGAGTTACTGACAGTTAACATAATCAATGTATGTGGTGAAAACTGCTAGATATAAAAGAAACAATTCTATATGCAAAGTTATAAGAAAAGTAGATATATTTTGGTGAAAAGCTTATGAGAAGGCATGGGAATATGTTTTCTGTTAAAGGGGAAGTAATTTTGCCTAGTTTAGAGGTTTGCGTAAATTAAAAGAGTAAAACAGATGGATAAAACTAAACCCAAGCATCTAAGATCACCTCCCCCTTGACTTCCACACTGCATTTCAATAAAGCAAAGGCGCCTCCTTAATCGCCTTCCTGTAGATAGCAGGCATGATATGGGGGAATCTTTTGGGAAGGCATTGTTTCTTTCTTAAACAAGATCAAACCCCCACCCCATGCCTACTCCATGGACCAAGACCCTTTCACATGTCATTTCTAAGGCTGTAAACCCAAGACCTTTTCACGTGTAATATCTAGAGTTGTAAGCCTGTATCAAGGCAGAGCTTTTCTTTGTTAGATGAGCTTGGCAGTTGGACAACTATGTCGCCTTGCTCCCGGCCCCTTCTTTCCTAGTTCGGCGTCCGAGAGGTTTGTTTCTTGTGGCTGTTTCTGCTTCAATAGATCTTGTAAAAGGAATTCTGTGCGTGATCAAGTTAGTTAAAATTTAAAATAAATTATTTAGTTTTTCTATGAATTCAACATTAATATCAAAAGCACACTGATGCTGGGCACAGTGGTGCGTGCCTATAGTCCCAGCTACTCGGGAGGCTGAGGCTGGAGGATCGCTTGAGCCCGGGAGTTCTAGGCTGTCGTGTGCTATGCCGATCAGGTGTCCACACTAAGTTTGGCATCAATATGGTGGCCTCCCGGGAATGAGAAACCACCAGGTTGCCTAAGCAGTGGTGAACTGGCTCAGGCTGGAAATGGAGCAGGTCAAAACTCCCGTGCTGATCAGTAGTGGGATCGTGCCTGTGAATAGCCACTGCACTCCCGCCTGGGCAATATAGCAAGACCCCGTCTCTATTTAAAAAAAAAAAAAAAAAGGCACACTGATGCCACACACTGGGCTCCTCTGTCACAACAATGGTTTCCCAGGAGCATTAATCTGTTCTTTAATAGAAAACTATAACAGGCTATGAGAGGTTTATGGCAATCATAGCTTCTGGTCAAACTTATTGAGATTAAATGAATTTGTTTATAAGGTTTTATTAAAAATTAGTTTTAGCATGGTGACCTCATCTAAGGGGAGACCACGAGGTTGCCCATGGAGGGGTGAACCGGCACAGGTCAGAAACAAGGCAGGGCAGAACTCTTGTGCTGATGAATAATGGGATGGCACCTGTGAATAGCCACTGCCCTTTAGCCTAGGCAACACAGCAAGACCCTGTCTCAAAACAAACCAGCAAAAATTATCTTTAGTGTTAATGCTACACTAATGTAAAAGTAAAATTTGGTTTTCTCTCTTGGTTTTTTTTTTCTTCCCTATGGAAGAGTCTCACTCTGTAGCCCAGGCTGGAGTGCAGTGGTGCAATCTCAGCTCACTGCAACCTCCGCCTCCTGGGTTCAAGAGATTCTCCTGACTCGGCCCCCAGAGTAGCTGGGATTACAGGCGAGCGCCACCACACCTGGCTAATTTTCGTATTTTTAGTAGAGAGGGGGTTTCACCATGTTGGCCAGCCTTGTCTGGAACTCCTGACCTCCAGTGATCTACCTGCCTCGGCCTCTCAAAGTGCTGGGATTACAGGCATGAGCCACTGTGCCCAGCTGGTGTTCTCTTTTGATAAAGAAAAAAATTGTTTTTTACCTTTTGAGTAAACTAAAAATAAAAGAGGGAGAGAGCAAAATATTCAGTTGGCTTCATTCCATCTTTCTTAGGTCCTATTGTTTAGGAAACTGGGTCTCTGCTCTACCAAAAAGTAAATGTTTTTTATTTTTAAAGTCTTTGAATTATCATTGTGGCTAAGTCAATTACTTATTTTAAAGTGACTTGTAATTCTATAATGCAACATAAAGTGTTTTTAACCTTTGATATTTGAGAAACTTTCAAATATTCAAATTTCAAGTTGTAATTCAATAATCCGTACTTCATTAGCTTTTTTAGATAATAGGTCCCCTGAAGTCTAAAAGAAACATATTTAGTTTATTTCATATGTTAAAATCATACAAGAAATATTCAAATATGAAATGGTTTTTAACTTTCTTTGGGTTCTACTGATATAAATGTGTTATTAACATATGTTCCAAAATTGGATGAGGTCCTATAATTCTTTTTTTTCTTTTTTTTGAGAGAGAGTTTCGCTCTGTCTCCCAGATGGAGTGCAGTGACACATGAGATCCTATAGTTCTGATTTGTCTTAGTATACATTATAAAAATAATTATGATTATTATGCTAAGTTTTTGACATAGAAATAACCAAATTTCTTTGCCTTTAATCATGGCTGTCCTAAAGCTTTTGTCTTCCACAGAGAGTTATTGTTTTACTTTGATTCTTCTCAAAAAGCAGTTAATAATCAGCTATAGTCCAAAACTAGCTTATTTAGGGAAGTTCACAGAAAGGACTCTGATGGGTGTTTTTAAATGTAGATTTCTGATAACTTTGGAGATTGTGTGATATAGCTGGCCTAGAGTTAGAACCTGTACAATGCCATTTTATAAATTGACAAAACTGTTTCCATTCTCCTCACAATGACTGCTAACCTTGACTTCTGTAAACTGCTAGATTATTTGCAGGATGCAAAGTGAGGTAAAGCTGCATACCTTCTCTTATCTGTAACTGCCAGAATTGCTGGCCTTTGTTTACCAGAGTAAGCACCCCCTGATAATTCCATCCTGGTGCCAAGTAAATAAAAATCTATGGATCCCACCCCTACCCAGACGATGTGTAAACGAATGTTTATCTCAGCATCTGTGAACCCCTTAAATAACAATCAGAATGTCAAATAGTCCCCTGGCCCTCGAAATGTCCGGAACCCCCTCAACCTCCTCTCCGCCCAGAAGGTGATTTGAATCCACTGGCCCTCGGAATGTCTAAAGCCCCTCACCCCATCCTCTCCCCTCACCCGCAAGGTGATTTTATGGGTATAAAAGGTCTTGTCACCCTCTTTTACGGGGTCACGGGTTGGAGAGACGTGAGTCCTCCGTGGTCGCCGGCAATAAACTGTGCAATTTGGCATACTTTTGTTCTGGTGTTGACTTTCTGTGCTCAGTTCGACATAACAATTGTACCACTAGAGTTGAGAAACAAATTTCCAGAATTCTCATTGTAGAGCTACTGTGTTCATGAGGATTACTAACCCCAATATCAAATGAAATAAATTAATTTCATAGAAATGAACTAATAGAGGACTGAAATATATTTATAACCCTTTTTGTTTGAAACAAACAAGAATTGTTGATTCTTTATTTTTTTATTTAGGCAAGAAAACTTTTAGACATGAAATCAACCTAGGTGTCCATCAATAGTGGATTGGATAAAGAAAATGTGGTACACATACCCCTTGGAGTACTATATAGCCATAAAAAGTAATGAAATCATGTTCTTTGCAGCAACATGGGTGCATCGACTATCCTAAGTGAATTAATGTGGGAATAGGAAGCTGAGTACAACATGTACTCATTTACGAGTGGGAGCTAAATATTTGGGAACTCATGAACATAAAGATGCCAATGATATGCATGGGGGACTACTAGAGATAGAAGGGAGGAAGGGCTTGTGGGTTGTAAAACTAACTATTGAGTATTATACTCACTACATGGGTGATGGGAGTGTTTATACTCAAAACCTCAGTATCATGCAATATACCCCTGTAGCAAACCTGTGCATGTTCCCCCTGAATCTAAAATAAAACTTGAAATTATTTTAAGAAGATAACTTTTTTCTTTTGGTCTATTTATGATTTTTGACAATTGAGTAAAGTATACTCTCATGAGCAAAATCTGAAACACATTTTCCTTTTACCTGATTTCTCCAGAATTTGGAAACGGTATTTGACAATTCTTAATTTATGACAATATAGTTATTTGCATAAGTTCAGTAAGAATCTGTTTTCTCTTGAAACAGGACACAACTGGAGACATTGGATATTTTATCAAGGCTTTGACTGGAATGATATTTTTTCAGAAATAACCAAACTGCTTTGAGAAATCAAAATTGACTTTATAGAGCTGAGAAAAACCCCTTGGAAAAAATGGCATGGTACCCTCTCTATGCAATTCCTTTACAAAGCTCCTGACCTGTGATGAGTAAAAAAATGTCACTTTCTGAAAGACCCAGAACGTCGAGTTACTTTGGAACCTTGACAAGAGAGGAATTCCCCCAATTTGTACAGTTATCTGTTTACACAGCTATCTGAGGCACAAATAAATCCTTGGCTGGGGTTGAGAGGCCTTTAAAAGTCTAATCTGAGATTTCCTTATGAAAAATTTTCAGCAAAGCCAATTCAAAAAGAGCCTATTGGCCAATAATTACTCTTGCTTCACTTTATGCAAATACTCAGGCCAAGTGTAGTAAGACTACAATTTATTTTACAAATAAATTGCTCCTACTATGATTTGTCTTTGGTAAAAATGGGGACTGCAGAGAGAAAAATTGTTTCAAAAGAAACTACAGTAAACCTGTTATTAGCTTCTAGACGTGTTCATTGTTTTTCCATTTTTATTATTTGTCTATTTATTTAGACCGAAGCCTGAATGCTTTCCTGCTTCCAGTCTCCCAACTAATGTTTGCAATTTTTTGCTCCCATTTTTCTCACTTAAAATCACAAGAAATTAAGACTGTGCTTTGTTTGAAGCTTTGCAAACTGAAGTTAGACAATGTAAACTTCAGCATAAATTATACACACCTGTCTACTCACCAGAGCCCCCACCACATTCATTCCTGCCTGCCTTTTGAGGTATGGACTTCTTGGCACTCTAGTCTGAATCAGTTTTCCAGTGTTGCCCTCCCTTTTTGCTATAATTTGGCCCTTGACTCCCCTCCGCCACTTTTTTTTTTTCCTTTCTTTCTTTTTCCACCTATTTTCCCTGTGAAACATGAGACTTCATGATCTCTTAGGAATGAGCCTTCCTACCAACATGAGACCTAACCTCACCTTCTAGGAATAAACCATACTGACAATAAATGATTAGGTTAAACCTATGAAGAGAGATATTTTTCAAAAAAACTTTTTTTTTTTTTTTTTGGAGGGGAGATGCCTATAATCCCAGCACTTTGGGAGGCTGAGGTGGGCAGATCACTTGAGACCAAGAGTTCAAAACTAGCCTGGCCAACATGGTGAAACCCTATCTCTACTAAAAAAACAAAAGTTAGCTGGGTATGGTTGTGTGCGCCTGTAACCCCAGCTACTCAGGAGGCTGAAGCAGGAGAATCGCTTGAACCTGGGAGGTGGAGGTTGCAGTGAGCAGGGATTGTGTCACTGCACTCTAACCTGGGCAACAGAGTAAGACTCCGTCTCTAAATAAATAAATAAAAACTGAGGTTTTAGGACTCCCAAGTCAGTATGCCAAAGTGAAAGGTAAGGTTGGGAACTGAGTCACGAATAAAACTGCCTTTCTCTTCTTCACAAAGAGGCAGCTGGGATTTCACATGCTTACTTTATTTTATGCAAAGTACGGATTTACTGAGCATGCAATGAATGGACTTTTTCCTCTACCCACTTCTTTGCATGTGCTAAATATAGATTCATTGAGTACTAATGAAGCCTCACCACTTGCATCGTTGCCGACCCTCCCTCCGTTCGGTTCTTCCACACCTTCTTACTCTTCCCTGTTTATATATTGAAGCTCACAAAACCCTCTTTGGAAAAGACACAGGTCACAGATACTACTTTAACTTGTGTTTCTTTTTCTTGAGTGTAAATTAAATCTCAAATGAGATCTGCCCTAGTCACTTTTTGGTTTGCAATCCTCAAATAGTCCTTTCCCAAAGTTTTTCTGGGAAAATTCAGTTAGTGCTAGATGTTACCAAAGATCACTGGGAGTTATTTCAGTAAGAGGTAATAATCATTTGGTTATCTAATTGGCTTTTTTTTTTTCATGATTTGTGAATCAGAGATGCCTCCATTCTATAAAATAGAATGAGAGGTCCTATTGAGAACAAGGAAGCAGAACAATAGAACAAAAGTTGACTGATTAACTTCAGGTTACTGCAGGTGACTTTTTTCATAAACATTAAAGCAGAGGGGACTTTTTTATTATACTGACTCCGACTTGTATCCCCTGATTTCAGGAAAACGGGTCTGATGTGGGGTCTACCTGCTTCCTTAGAGTTCCAGTTTAATTATATGGTGTTTAGCATGAGTGACTCCATTTTGGTTTGGTCTGGTCCCTTAGGGCCCAGTGTAATAGCTCAATCTAAAACAGGGGCCTCCCATAACTTTTGTTAGAGCAACAAAAGTTGCTTTTTGTTAGAGCAACAGGGGATTCAAATGTATTGTGACCATTAATCTTAATAAGGTTAACCAAAGTTGCTAAATATTTTTCAAGTTAGAAAGACTGAACATCTACCCAGAAATAAAATGACCAATAAATGGAAATCTCCTACATGAGGCCCTCTTTTTTTTTTCTTTTTAAGGTGCGTATGCCTCTATAAATAGATTATAGAGAAACTCTTTCTATCCTAATGAAGTAAAAGGAACCTGTGATGAGATTTCATCATTGGGCAGAGGGTGTAATTGGATTTCATCTTGGGCAGAGAATGTAATTGAATTTCACCACGCGTACCTGCTTTTTGCCCAGGGAAATGTAACTAAATGGGCCGGAACATCTCTTGTTCCACTTCTGTAACCGTAGATTGGCAGAGCTTGAGGAGCCTCTGCTATAGGTTAGGACAACCCCTCTGTTGTGCTGTATCCACAGTTGCTGAAGACAAGATTTGGGGTAAGTCATGTTCAAATGAATAGGTGCCCCTTTGCAGGCAGAGGACTGAAAACTTTCCATGTAATATTAGATTATTGTTCGTTTTTCATTTCATAAGCAGTAAAAACATGAGAAAACTTTTGTCCCATCTCCTGATGTTTTGAAATGTCCACTTCATTTTGTTGGGAAGACAAAGCTACAGTGATGCCCAAGCTAGATAGGCCTTAACACAATATGGTGTCTTGTACTTGCAGAGCTGTAGCTATTTCAGAGAAAATGCAGCAGAGGCCACAGGGTCTCTGTCAGCCTTCCTCAAGTTTACTGAAATACATGTAGTACCTGCATGCTCTAATGAGAAATAGAAAGATTTCATAGTCATTTGGAGATTCAAAATGCTCTCTCTGCCTCCATCAAGAATGACTACTGTAAATAAAGGAGCCAAGGACAATTGCCAGGGAAAGAGTCAGATCAAACAATAAAAAAGGGAAGAAAGAAGGGAGGAAGAAGGGAAAAAACAAATGAAGGGAGGGAGGAAAAGAGGGAGACAGGGAGAAAGGGAGAAATGAAAGAGAGGGAAAAGGAAGTGAATGAAGTCAAATAGAAAACTTGCAAAAGAAAGTGGGAGGTTTGAAGTTTAGGATAAAAGGAATAAAAGATCCAGATGAATTTTTTAAAAAGCAAATTAAAGTTATGAAACACTGAATGAAAGAAAACTGAAATCAGCCTAAGGAGCAGAACAATATTGCTCAACAAGGGATGGTGGTTTTAAGATATCTGTCTTAGTCAATTCAGGCTGCTATAACAAAACATCATAGATTGGGTGGCTTAAACCACAAACATTTATTTTCTACAATTCTGAAGGCTGAGAAATCCAAGATTAAGGCATCAATACATCTAGTTTCTGCTGAGGGCTGTCTCCCTGCTTTGCAGATGTTTGCTTTCTTGCTGTGTCCTCACATGGAAAAAAGAGAGGGAGAATTTGCTGGCATTCCTTCTTGTAAGGCCACTAACTCCATTCACGAGGTTCCCACCCTCATGACCTCATCTGAACCTAATAACCGCCGAGGGCTCAATTTCCAAATACCAGCAACCACATGTGTGAGCTTAGAAGAGGATCCTTCCGCAGGTGAGCCCTGAGATGAGGCTGGCCTACGACTTGATGGCAGCTTTTGACAGACTGTGCCTCAGAGGTCTCCAGGTGAGCCCTTCTCAGATTCCTGAACCACAGAAACTGTGAGATAATCAAGTTTATTTGAAGCTACTAAATGTGGGAGTTAATTTGTTATGTGGAGTAGATAACTGCCACACACAGCTCCTGACAATTGGCATCTTGATGCATGTTCTGTGCTCCAGGTCCCAGTAACTGTGCCCACTCGTTATTACCACAGGTCACAGTGGACCTGGCTCTAGGGCATGATACTCTCTCGGTGTATTAGTCCATTCTTGTGCTGCTAATAAAGACATATCTGAGACTGGGTAATTTATAAAGAAAAAGATATTTAATGGACTCACAGTTCCACAAGGCTGGGGAGAGCTCATAATCGTGGAGGAAGGTGAAGGAAGAGCAAAGACACGTCTTATGTGGTGGCAGGCAAGAGAGCATGTGCAGGGAAACTGCCATCTATAAAACCATCAGATCTCATGAGACTTGTTCACTATCACGAGAACAGCATGAGAAAAACCTGCCCCCCACTGAATCCCTCCCAGGACACATGGTGATTACGGGACCTACAATTCAAAATGAGATTTCAGAGAGAGGACATAGCCACACCATATCATTCTGCCCAAGGCCCCTCCCAAATCTCATGTACTCACATTTCAAATTACAATCATGCCTTCACAACAGTCCCCCAATGTCTTAATTCATTTCAACAAGCCCAAAAGTTCAAGTCCAAAGTCTCATCTGAGACAAGGCAAGTCTCTTCCACCTATGAATATGTAAAATCAAAAGCAACTTAGTTACTTCCTATATACAATGGGGGTACAGGCATTGGATAAATTCTCCCGTTCCAAATGAGAGAAATTGGTCAAAACAAAGGGGCTGCAGGCTCCATGCAAGTCTAAAATCCAGCAGGGCAAACAAATCTTAAAGCTCCAAAATGATTCCCTTTGACTCCATGTCTCACATCCAGGTCACACAGATGCCAGAGGTGGGTTCCCATGGCCATGGGCAGCTTCGCCCCTGTGACTTTGCAGGACACAGCTCCCCTCCCAGCTGCTTTCATGGGCTGTCATTGAGTGTCTGTTACGTTTCTAGGTTCACAGTGCAAACTGTCAGTGGATCTATCGTTCTGGGGTCTGGAGGACGGTGGCCCTCTTCTCGCAACTCCACTAGGCAGTGCCCTAGTGGGGACTCCATATGGGGGCTCCCACCCCACATTTCCCTTCTGCACTACCCTAGCAGAGGTCCTCCATGAAGACTCTGCCCCTGCAGCACACCGCTGTCTGAACATCCGGGCATTTTCATACATCCTCTGAAATCCAGGCGGAGGTTTCCAAACATCAATTCTTGACTGCTCTGCATCTGCAGGCTCAACACACCGTGAGGAAGCTGCCAAAGCCTGGGGCTTGCACCCTCTGAATCCGTGGCCTGAGCTGCATATTGGCCTCATTTAGCCACGGTTGGAGCACCTG